CTTCCCACACTAAATATCCAGGCATCTGAAGACTGGCGAAGAACCAGCTGAGTGAGGAAGGCACAGGAACCTTGGACAAGTGTAATTTTATTAAAAGTCAGCAGCTATAATATCTGTAGCTTTTAATTTTTTTCCTCTTTAAGTAAAACATATATATACTGTATATATATATATATATATATTATATATATATATATATATAATGTCTCCAGTTATTAAATTACTCAGATCAAGGGTGAAAGGTTTCACATAGGTAAAGTATTAGGGCAATAAAGGAGATGGAGAACAGGTTCTTGAAAGTGTTATCTAGACATCCTGAATTGTTTGGAACTTAGTGGGACAGTCCCTATGTTCGTATAAGAGTTTCTTGAGTGGAAGATTATCATTAACCTGGGATAACCATGAGTCCAAAGTTGGAGGAGCTTGGATCCAGGTGCTGGCAATCATTTTACAACCCATAAATAGGGTTTCTTGCAGGAGTTAATGTGGTTGTAAACCCTTACATATACGAAATGAAGTGACTAGCCTCAGGTGATACACTGAGATTAAACAAATCCTCCGACATCCGTTCTACTGGTTTATCTGTAGAGCCTTCAAAAACACAGATTTTTCACAACATTTCTCACTCTGAAAAGCAGTGGGGTGGGGATTTAAAGTGGGGAGAGTTCTGAAAAGCTAAGTGGAGGGAAGTGTCAAGGTCCTACCTTTCCTCACACCTTGTGCTGCTCCATGTACTGGCATCCCATCTTAGGTGTCTGCAAAGCATTGTGGGATCCTTTATGCTTGCAGCCCTCTGCGGCTCCTCCCCCAGGAGGTGGCGGCTTATCACATATAGGTCTGCTGTTTGTAGCTGTCCACTGCATTCGTGTCCTGTCTGTTGCACAGCAGCAAGCTCCTGTTTAGTTTCTCATTGCTCTTCTGGATACCGACTCGGCTTTGGCAAGACTCCTTCCTGGCTTCTGACCCCGGATCTGGCGACCATTGTTGCTGTTGGACTTGCATAGACTGTGTTGTTTTTGTATAATAAACCTACCTTTAATTGCACCTCCTTGTGTGTCTGGCTCCTCACTCCCTGACAGGAAGGGACCACCCCCCCTCCTCACAGTACACAGGATCATGCACAGCTTTGGCTGTCAATCACAGGTTGTGTGCTGGAGCTTTCCTCCATCACCTTTTTATTTCTCAGAGCTCGGAAAAGCTGTCAGAAGTGACTCATCCAGATAACAGAGGAAGGAGACAGCAGAGAGAAGGGAGAAATCACACTCAGTGCTTTGTATAAAGGTAAGTGCACAGTATAGAAGATGTGCTTTGTTCATATTTCATGTCAGAGGTTTACAACCATTTTAAGGAGACTGGAGAGCCTATTATCTGATATAGGAATTTGACAATCTATACCCAATAACCTTGAATCTTGGTGAAAACACATAAGAGATGGTAAAATGTGCTCAAAGCACTTGAACACTTTGTTTTGTTCTTTTTTACTTTTATACCTGAGAGTTGGATGGTTTGATAGCCTTTTGTGCTTTCACAGATTATAGGCATTCAACTAACATTGTGCGGATTCATTGTTGCAGTTGGGCACTGTCTCTTTGCTGTTAGAGGTCTGATATATGTGTGATAGTGGTGGACCGATAGAAGTGAGGCTTGGTTGTTATGGACATACAATAGACAGCATTTTCCTTCAAAGGAGCTGATCCGTAATAAAGGTACAATGTGGGTTAAACTTGTTCTGGTCCTAGTTTGCTGCCTAGCAGATAATTATCTCTGGGGTAGATATTGAGAAGCACCTAGTACATTATTTATATTACTCAGAGGTCTTTTTCGAACATATATTGATTAAGAGTATCAAATACAGCAAATGCATTTCAGGAGAAAGGCCCTTCCCCCTCCTAAGGGCAAGAGCAGTGGATTTTATTAGAATCACGATGAGATATATGAGATAAATCAAGCCATTTCTTAGTGCGTGCCAAATCTTAAAGGCACTATGAACTACCAGCAGTTGGCTGTACATGGTGGCTGTATTTGATGCCCTTAACCAATACATTTTTCAAAACTGATATTAAATGATGTTAAATAGGTACTAGTACTAGGTGTCCCTCAACACCCACACCAGAGTTTATCATTTATGATGCAGCGCTAGAACATAAGATTAATATTATAAAAAATACAGTCAAGAAATAGCAAATGAACACAATTGGTTATAGTGAATCTCTTAGTGCAATTCGTGCACTAACCACAAAAAGGCTCAATGGATCCTAACCAGGTGAGAGAACTATATTAGCAAACACAAATGCTCCTGCGCTTGGGGATGGACTCGATGCAGGCTACAACCACATTAAGAATGTCCTGGAACATGCACACCTTGCTGCCCTCAAATAGACCGGGGAAATCCAAATATACTGAATGAGGAAAGACAAAACAGAGGGCGCACAGGCCTAGTGCACACAACCATAAAAAATGTTTAATAAAAAAATAAAGTAGGTGTTGTACTCACAAACGACAATATAGTCAAGGCACATCATAAAGAACAGCTGGGTCAACACCGCGTTGAGTAACAGTCTGCAATAGGGAGTTTAGACATCGAAAAGGCTGACGCGTTTCGAGGCCATGGCTCTGAGGAAGAGGCAAGTCCTCGAAACGCGTCAGCCTTTTGGATGTCTAAACTCCCTATTGCAGACTGTTACTCAGCGCGGTGTTGACCCAGCTGTTCTTTATGATGTGCCTTGACTATATTGTCGTTTGTGAGTACAACACCTACTTTATTTTTTATTAAACACTTTTTATGATAGAACTATATTCCCTTCAGGGAATTATACCATAGTGTTTCCCTAAATAGGGGAAATTATAGTTATATATGTGTAAGTCAAACATAAATCAAACAAATCATTCTGGTGTCCATCAGAAATTCAATTGCTGTATAATAGCATCAATCATGCATTTTCAAACGTGATCATGCGTTTGGTGATAGGTGAAGTGATATCCAACAATGGCAGGCATGCGCGCTCATCTCCACACTGCGACCCCAGGGGGGCCACAACGCCTTATGGATCCCCTGGATCCTGCTAGTAATCACTGGGTAGGTCAGGTAACGCACTCCATATAAGCACCTCCTTCTCTCACTCTTATGCCTCCATCCGCAGTAGATAGTATATACGTTCAGGCCAATGTATAATACAGAACCACAAAACAGAATGCCTCCATAGCGTAAAACCATAAGTTTAATAGGTATAGATATAAACGCCAAGTGCTCACTTACATCAAAGCAGAAACATACAGGCTTTTCATCACCAAAAAAATCCTTCAGTTTTACACCTCTTGAATGTAATCGTGTGCTGTATACACCCTGGAATTCGAAGATGGCGCCAACTGGAAATACGTCACTACACCGCTTCTACGCGTTACGTCACGCCCACATGGCTTCATCAGGATCAGTATTCATCATTCATCAGTATTTTATAATATTAATCTTATGTTCTAGCGCTGCATCATACAATCGGGGGGATTACACTGGGCAGGTCCTCAGCGCTGCATCATAATTACTTGTTATTGCCTGAGTTCATCTTAAGGGGATGTTTCGGATGGTAGCTGCTTATACGTTTAGATATACATAAACAGCGCAGGTGGACTTTTCTTTAGAGTTCATCATTTGCTGTTAAAGAGAATGGACAGTTAAGGGCTAAGTTCACCTTTACAGAAAAAAGCCTATGCAGCCAAGGGGTCCCAGTAGACATTCCTTAATTTTTTTTAAGGTATACATGTACGGTAGATCCTTTGGGCCCCTCTGGAAGCGTAGTTGAAAAACTCCCATGTAGCAGTCCCCACACCCTGCGTTGCTGCTGGGACATGAAAACCATTTATTTTAACTTCTGTAAAAGGTGGAAGCGAGCGTCCAACGTTTTTCATGTCCTAGCAACAAGGCAGGATGTGGGAATAGCTAACTGGGAATTTTTTGGCCAGGCTTCCAAGGAGGCCCAAAAGGCCTACAGATATGACATGAAAATTAATTAACATTTTACAAAGTTGTACAACTGTACAACTTTGTACAATGTTCATTAATTTTAATGTCATATCTGTAGGCCTTTTGGGCCTCCTTGGAAGCCTAGCCAAAAAAATTCCCATCTACCTGGGTCCCTTGACTGCATAGATTATTTTCTAGAGAGGTGTACTTTAGTGTAAATTAAAAAGAAAATAAAAATGAAGACCAAAAGCAATATATCTTGGAAATATCAGAGATCTGAACAAATCTGCATATGTTTTTACCACTAAATGTTCACTAAAGTGCTCTCACCCTTTAAATTAAAAAAACAAAAATGAATCACATTCCACAGGTATCTGCACCAATAAGTATTCCACTTAAAAGGAACAGCCAAACTGAATGCTCAACCTGCCTAAGGCTGACACAGTATTTATCAGCTCTGGTGCACTTCTTAGACCCCGTTTCAGATGAGCAATCCAATCAGATCCACCAGTAATTTTTTTCCTGAACGTAAGCTCTATGGGCAGGTAGATGTACCTCTCATTCATTCAGGTCCAAAAAAAAAAAGAACAGGTTTGTGTCCTTTTAATTTTTTCAGACCTAAACGTGACCGATGATAGGTAAAAGGAAGTAAACGGATGTACATCTATTTACATCTGCTTGCCCATAGACCTGACATTGGCTTGTGAAGGGACATGAAGGGACATGGATGTCATAAAATTGACATTGGTTCTGATTTTCTCTGATTCAGCAGGGGATCTGTTTTGTTGATCGGAATAGATGCCACCCATGAGAAAGGACCCTTATTAAACAACAACAAAGGGTAAAAAAAGATGAAATCTAGATACATCACCTTTGTGCTGGAGAGGATGTGGAGAAAGGGGTACAATGGCACATATATGGTGGGGTTGCCCAAAAATACAGGATTACTGGAGAGAAATAATTCAATATATTCAGGAGATATGCGGAATAACTGTACAGAAAGATCCCTGGAGTTATTTATTCCAGGGGCAGACTGACCATTGGAAACTCGGGCACTGCCGGAGGGCCCGGGGTCAGTAGGGGGCCCCATGAGATGCCCCTGGTACCTTTTTCATAGGCTTTTTTGAGTTTGAGCAAGAACACAGGGGCCCCATGATCCCCTATTGCCCAGGGGCCTCATGAGTTATCAGTCCTCCCCTGGTTTATTCTATAACTTTGAGCCCTCAAAGAAACCATATAAAAACAGGGTACTTTATCATCTAATTAGTGCGGCTAAGGGTCTGATTCCCAAGTTCTGGAAGGTTCCTGAAGCACCAAAAATTGATAAATAGAATGGATAAATAGAGTTGAAAATATTTATAGGATGGAGGAGCTATGTCATATGGAGAAAGATAGAATGGAAAAATTCAGGAAACGTGGTGTAGTTGGTTGAAATTTAAATCCTCTGAAAGATATATGGAACTGGTGGGAATTGGGGGGAGAAATCTAGAAGCCAGGAGAGAGTTTTAATTGTGATTTTGATGGATAGCAGTGCTGCAGATAAATAGATAAACATGAGAGAAGATATAGGTTAGGAAGAGGATGTGGATGGGGAAAAAAGGGGATGGGGGGAAGGGTGTAGGGGGGGGGGGGGGGGTATAATGGGGGTATTATGGAATGTGTATACCTGAATTATTTTTATAAACATGTTTTCTTTTTTATACTGGAAAATCAAATAAAAGTTAAATAAAAAAGGTGAAATCAAGTATTTTATTTAAAAAAAAAAATCATTTAAAAAAAATAGTTTATGACAACGCTTTAGCAAATTGAATATCATTCATTTAGGGTGTTTATGTCCATTAAAGTGAACCTGTGTTTTTTTTCCATGGGTCCCTTGCATTGTCCTTTATAACTGTCTTTTTCTAACTATATGCAGCGAGTTGCTATGTCAAGTAATTGTATGTGCTTGCGGTTACCATGGCAACAAATCATGAATGGTAAAACTGACAGGCTTCTGAAACACTGCATGACACATGCTTATAATACTACAGCACACGACAACCTCAGTTCCTGGAATAGCAAGTTGACGTAGTCAAGCAATGTAGCAACGCGGACATGATCAATTCTGTAAATTTAAGAAGAAGGCTCTTCAACATATAGGTCAACAACAAACAATAAAATAAAGGGATATTGAAGCCATAATATTCCTTTCCATTTAAAAAAAAGCTAACAAGAGACACGTATAGGGTAATTCCACTTTCATGGAAAACATATAGCAAATAAACTCAAATAATATAGAATATGCAATTGCTACATAAGCCATGCTGTAATTTAATGTTATTAAAAGTGACCTTTCCTTTTCAACCTACAGCTCAGCCTTTCTCAACCAGGGTGCCCAGGCACCCTGGGGTGCCTTGAGGTTTCTTCAGGGGTACCTTGGCAAAATGTCTAAAAATTGCCCAAAACTTGTATACAAGAGAGCAAGTGGAACAAGCCTGCCTCTTAGTTACACAAAGCCACAGGTTTTCATTGTGCACCATTAGGACCTTCTAGCCGCCAGCGTCCTGACAACCAATGACATCATCAGTTGATAAGGAGGAGGTCAGTTGCCTGCACAGCATCCTAGTTTGACCCTCCCCCGCCCCTATCTATTAGTGTTGGGGGTCACCAGGGGCGGACTGACCATGTGGAAACTCGGGCACTGCCGGAGGGCCTGGGGTCAGTAGGGGGCCCCATGAGGTGCCCCTGGTTCCTTTTTCACAGGCTTTTTTGAGTTTGGGCAAGGACACAGGGGCCCCATGATGCCCTATTGCCCGGGGGCCCCATGAGTTGTCAGTCTGCCCCTGGGGGTCACATTAGCTCAGTGAGGGAGAAGAGAAACATTGGAATACTAGTCAGTACCAGTGTGCAAAAGTGTATTTGCTTCAGAAGAATAAATCAAAGCTAATGTTGGGTGTCCTACATGTATGGATGTTGCTGAGGTATATAAAACTATTAGAATCGTTTTTCACATTTTAGAATTGGGTGCGTCAAGATTGTCCATAATTTTAAAGGGTGCCTTGGGACTGTCCATAATTTTAAAGGGTGCCTTGGGACAGTCCATATAATTTTAAAGGGTGCCTTGGGTCAGTCCATAATTTTAAAGGGTGCCTTGACTGAAAGAAGGTTGAGAAACATTGCTACAGCTGATGTAATTGCTTTCTGTTAAAGGCAATGCAGTATGACAACCTAGAGGCACACTGTACACTGTTGGTGTCATTTCCTGCTTGTGTGATTGGCTCACTGATTTTCCCAGAAGTCTGCACTAATAGTCAAGTTTTAGGCACCCCCTGCAATAGAAATTCTAGTTTTGGTGAGGCACCCCCAAGGGTTGCCTATTTCTAAAGGGATGTAGACCCTGTAGTTTTTCTCATTATAACACTGAGACTGCACCAGGTGACTAAGCCTTAGAAATAATGGGCTGCTAATTTTCAATGCTGCTGCTACTTCAGCTACTTTGTAAATCAACAGGCATCTCTAGTTAATTTTGTCTTGGGGTCTAAAGCTGGCTATGAACATTACACAATGGTCATGCATTAAACCCCCACCCCGAAGACAAACACAAACACCTCCAATGCCAACTCCATTTGTCAATTATTATTTTATTATTATACAGTATTTATATAGCGCCAATGATTTCAGTTACACATATACGCAAGTCTGTGCACACCTAAGTATTAACAGGATAGCAAGATTATACTGGTGTACACCTGCTACCATGCTGATACTGCCAATCTGATACATTTGGTCACGCAAAACTTGTAAGCAGAAGTTGTGAGTTTAGGGGTCCCTTTGCTACATTGGAATGTAAGCATTAGAAATCCTCTTTTGCTCTTTAGAGTGGTCACTCCTTTTAAAAATTCTGCTAGCAGTGGCTAAATGGTTAGCACTTCCACCTGGCAGTACTCGGGTTGTTGGTTCAAATCCCAACCACGGCACCACCTGCCTGGAGCTTGCATGTTCTCCCTGTGCCTGTGTGGGTTTCCACTGGGTACTCCGGTTTCCTCCCACACTCCAAAGACATGCTGGTAGGTGAATTGGTTCTTGTCTAATTTGGCCCTAGTATGTGTATGTATGTGAGTTAGGGACCTTAGATTGTACGCTCCTTGAGGGTTAGGGACTGATGTGAATGCACAATATATATGTGTAAATTGACGGTGCTATATAAGTACCTGAAATAAATAAATAAAGATAATATTTAAATTATGATTAGGAAATAAGGAGCCATTTTATAATATAGTCATTCATCACGGTGTAACCAATGGAAGTAAACGTCTGGCTGTCGAGGGGATTATCAATCTTATTTCAAGTAACTATGTGTCTTTCCTAAAAGTATTCAAACACGTCAGTTACAAAGCAGAGAAAACAAGCTAAATCATTTCTGGCAATAACTGACCCCTTAAATTCAGAGGCCAGCAGATATCCATTGATATAGTGAACGGCTAGGATGGTAAAAGCAGAAGTAGCTGAGATTACATAGTTGTGTTTCTTGTCTATTGGTTCAACACTATATAGGTATTTGGTGATGCTAGGGTTCCATGCAAGAGTTGGCCATCAACATCTATGGCACATCTACTGCAGATAAGACCTACCAGAGCCGAAACAGTTTTCCATACATTGCAAGCTTTACAAAGGTAGATTTCCTACAAAAAATCTGGATAATGGAAGTTACATAGTTAGTCTGGCTGAAAAAAAGACAAAAGTCCATCCAGTTCAACCATTAAAAAAAAGCTATAATCCTATACCCACAGTTGATCCAGAGGAAGGCAAAAAAAAAAACCCAGCAAAAGCACGATCCAATTTGCTCCTGCAGGGAAAAAAATTCCTTCCTGATTCCCCGAGACGCAATTGGATATTCTCTGAATAACGTTACCTATAAATGTTAGTATCCAGATATATTCTGTGTATCTAGGAAATAATCCAGGCCTTTCTTAAAGCAATCCACTGAGCTGGCCAGAACCAACTCTTGAGGGAGTCTATTCCACATTTTCACAGCTCTCACTGTGAAGAAACCTTTCCGTGTTTGGAGATTAAAGTATGCTGTGATCTTCATCTCTCCTTACATGCCAGAAAAATAAAAGTAATGTGCACTATTCCAAAACTGTCTGATGGGTGTTGCCATGCTTTTTATGAAAGCCTATCCTATCGCTGACTTGACTCAACTAATGCAGCTAGAATAAATGGATGATGATTTGGAATGGGAATGGGTTAACATAAAAAAGGTTAAAGGAAAACTAGAAAAGAACATGAAGGCTACCATTGCTGACCTCTCTGACTTAAAAGGCTAGGCTTTTTTTCCCCAAATTATACTTACCTAGGTGAATGCTGCATCTGTTCCCCGCCGGTTCTAAATGTGAGAATTCAGCGATCACATGACCGCTGATTGCTGAGTTCTGATCAGCACTGTGAGCAGAGAGTGGTGACTGTCAGTCACTGCTGTCTGCTCTGCCTCCCCCTCCCCCATGCGAACTGGAGTGCTGGGCCATGGATGGGGAGGAAGGGGCTGTCTCATCATTGACAGACTGAGCCAGGTGCCACTCCACACTCTGGGGTGGATCCTGACTTTAAAGTTGGGATCTTCCCCCAGCCTGCACTGGCTGAGTGACGTCAGCTGACAGCGGGCTTTGTGATGATTAACCTGCAGAAATAAGTGCACTCCTGTGATCCAGAAGAGAAGTATGACTAAAAATGCTTTGGCCATACCATTCCTTAAAGATATCAGTTTATAATATTGGATTGGCTGTACCTGGTGTTTCATGGTACAGTAGCAAATTGCACAAGTACCTCCATGGAATGTTACAAAGAAGGTCACAGTAATTAAGTAAAAGTAATAAGGAGGAGAGACAAAGGCCTTTCTAATGGATTAGATACATATTGACTCATACAAATATGTTCCTCCCTTACTTGGCAGGTGGGACTATGGCATTTGTATGAAATGTCACCCTGGATGTCACCCAGAGTCACTGGCTTGAAATGGAAGAAACTTCACTCAAGTATCTATATCTAATAAACACTATACAATGCCAGTATCTGTAACCCAACTTCATTGAGCAGCTGCCATTTTCTGACTTGAATATGTGCACTGAAT